TGATAAGTGGCAAGTGTAGGTGTGATGCACTTAGTCTGGAGTCTGAAAATGTTAAAGTGCTAGTGTCCTTAGGCTACTAAAACACGAAACGATGTTGGTCCCGCGGTATGGTGATTCCATAAAATTTTTGTTCATTTAATGTGATATGATTTATAAGAGGATGAGCACTGTTTGATTTGAGCTTCATGCAAAGTTGCATCACCAGCAGGCAATAAGCTATGTTAAATATCTTGGCTCTTACTGGTTCACAACAACTCGTTGGATATTTTCCTGGATAGAAATTAGCGAACTGAAAGTTGAGACGCTTAAGTCGAACTCGACCGGATTGGCTTGGTTAATCTGGGAAAAGTGGATTGGCGAGTGAATTGGATCTGGACTAGCCGGACTAGACTGGACCGGATCATGACCATTCAGTCCGTAAAGCGATCTGCGACCTAGTGAGTTGCGATCTCGGGTCGATGCGGGCGGTGGGCGGCAACTGACGATGCCCTGAAGGCACCCGGCGGGCCGACATTGCTACATAATTGGAGCAATGCATCATAAATATGCGACCGAAACACATCGCAGAGTACACCATAGTATACAGCCATTGCATAAATGACACGCCTGAGTGGATTTTATGTCGCTGCAAGGCATACTTTCGTAGAACTAGGCCGTAAAGTTGAAACATGTGCGATTTTCAGGAACATTTGACCTTTGTCTAGCATAATGGGAGCAACGATTAAATTATGGACCTAGCGGCATACGACGCAATCAATTGCGAGATCTCGTTACGACCAAGCGACCGATCTGTTTGGCTATGCCTATCGTTCACAGTTTGGAAACGGCAGAGAGAGTTGCATCGACTCTCCATCAGTCTGCGCTGTGAAAAACGGCAATCGGGGCAAGGGTAAAAAACGTGCTTGGGTACGGGGAGGTGGAAATTGAACCCCCGAAGCTTTTACAAAGCAATTTTGTAACGGCGCAGTGTAGCAGCTTCAAACCTTGCACATATGCAGGAAATTAAAGATTTTGAGCTTTATGTAGAAAAATCATATGTACCTTGTGAGTTCACTGGCCCATGATAGGTGCAAGTTAGGCCGTGGCTGTCAGCAAAGGTAATTTTACGAAATCGTTTAATACGATGCGACGACCTGCTCGTTGGACGGAGCCAAACATCTCTGAGAAGGTTGCTTAGACAATCAAGCAATCAATTTAATTGGCCTAACATCAGGTGCAAGGTGAGACCGGTGTCAAAACCAACTTGTGTTGGAGAGCGTTCTATAGGGGTAGTTTCTTAAGCATATATATGATTCTTGATGACAGCGATCGCAACAGACACCTTCAAGAGACACCTTAAAGTTAAGAGTAGGTCACTGACTTAACAACCCAGTCAACCCTTGTTTCTGAGGAACGTAGCAGCCAGCGTAATCCATAACTCCTACTCAAATTGATAAATAAAAGCAGCCTCTTAGGTTTTTGGTCACCACGACCTTCTGATGGTCAAACAAGGGCACTGACCCAGAATGACCACCAGTGACCTTTTGCTTAGAACAGGTATTCAGGTTCAAGGCAGTTACATGGGAAGGCCTGGGGCCACATAAGACACCAATATTTTGTTTGACCTTGTTTGATTTTGCTTGACTTGACATAGGCTGGGACTTCATGGCCTAGGTATCTCAAGTTATGACGCAAGCGAATGAACGTGCAGGCCAATCCACATTGTCAGTTTGGTGTCTTTAGCCCCTCCAGGTTTTGACATCTTGGAGAGTCGAGTTTGTCCTCCACCCACACCCAAATGAAAGGTATATAGCTGACCACCTGGGCACGTCAACAGAACAGTACTAACGTTTATATTACTGGAACGATGCGCCGGAGTTACTAGAGATGGGACAGCCCCCTCAAAATCCTCCGAATTCTGTCGGCCAGATCAGCAACAGGTCAGCGAGTGGGCGACTTGAAAAATAGCACTCATGCTTCGCAGCTGTTGGCGCAGCATATACGTATGGGCTGGACCGTGGAGTTGTAATCTATCCAGGCTCCCAAGAGCGGGGAAGTGTTTCAAATCTGCACTCGCGAACATGCCTGGATTTTGATATTCGATCGTCGCAGGAAAGACGAGCTGTCTCGCCATCGAGGCCGAGCGATACTGTTCACTTCATTCCCGGGCTTTTCGTCGAGATGTTGATTCTCGCCTTCTATTTAAGAATAAGGCTCAGTTTTCAGGGCCATCTCGCGGCTAGTCAACCAGTTGATCCTGATGATACTGCTCCATCTACCGTGTTTCTTCTCTCTCTGCTGGTAAACACATAAGTAGCATGCTGAAAGCAGAGGAGCGGGCGCCACAACCCAAGCTGTGCACAGGCATGTATCCAAAAATATATGACAAAATTCGCCACATTTGGTACCATATTTTTCCCACATGTTTCGTGATGATTTTGCTGCTCATGACTTTTATGACAAAGACTGTTGGTTAGTTAAACTAGCCGAGCATTATGCTGGGTCATGCTTTCATAAGGCATGATACAAGTGGAGGTGAAACGGTGGAAAATTTGTCTTCCTGTTATTTTTTTCGCATGTCATGTAAAAAAGTGGTAATTTGCATGCAACGTTTGCTTCTTGTGTAGTTGCCTTGTCCTTTGCGTCACACCGTCATACTGACGTGTTAACTATAACTGAGGCGCACGAACCCGCACCTGACTGAGGGCCTACTGCCATGCACAAACAGATGGCGAAACGTAAATTGATTCCTCCGTCTAATTCACGAGCCATTAGTTCCAGGGCGAAGTGTTCAGTAAAGCTGCAAACATTCAACTGCTTTTATTGATATTTAATCATACCATAGCCTTAAAGGTCACAGCGGAATTGCTTCCAGCGATTGCACTTTGCCAGCACTGGCCTGATGGGGAAGACTTGACTAAAGCGTGCCGACTCTGAGTCGTGAAGCTGTGCTTTCTGTACCACTGTCAGTCAAACATGTTCTGGACATGTTCTTTATCTATCACATCTTAAAAAAACTTTCAAATGCATGGTGTTCACTCAAAATGCATCATTTCATAAAAACGGGGAATAATTTTTCGACCATTAGATCACTTGACCAGTACTAGAGTGATCACTTGAAATGCAACGGGGCTTTTAAGGACTGAAAAGTTGTCAACGTGTTCAAGGAAAAGGTTCTGAAAATGTTGCCACCCACATGCATCGTTTTATTTTCCAGCCACATTGGAAAACCCTGAGGGATTCATAGATGTCCTTCCCCCGGTTGGGTAGCGGTTAGAAATGTGCACCTACTTACACTGCGCAACAGGTTAGCATGCCTTTCGTTTTAATTTCTTTACATCGTAACATTTCGCTGAAATAATCCGAGGAGGATCCATCTCATCCATTTCTTTCTTATCTTCAAGCTCATAGGATGATGTGCCTGGTCGCGCAGAGGCTACGGGTACCGACCCCAGGGAGGCATCCAGTAGCGGAGTCACCAGGGGCAAGGGGGCAGCCGCGTCCCTGTCGTTTGCCAAGTAGAAACGTGTCTTTTAGGCCCCATAAGATTAAAAAACGGTTTGTCATACCGACAGCAGCCATGCCAGCAGTAGCCCACCATTGACCAGGACATACATTGTGCGCTTGGATGGCTTAGATTATTGTGTACACTGTGTTGAGAAGATCATTCGAGGTTGTGATAGGATATTCCAACCGGTGCTGCAGTGCGTGACACGGGGGAAAATTGCGTATAATGAGTATTTGCGGGAACGCAACTTACAAAACACATGATTTCCCACCCATTTTTGCTCAAGCATCGCAGTGAGGTGTGTTTGATCTGAAGTGTGTCCCTCTTCCTCACACACACATACCTTTAAAAAATAGTGGTGTTGCCTCTGCGATAGTGTATATTTAAAGATCAAACGACACGCGTGTATGCAAACGAATTCAAGCAAAAAGGAGCATCATGCATGCATGCAAACGATGCTAAATAAACACGAATCACTCATGCATGCAAATGATTTTAAGCTGGCACACAATACGCATTAAGGCACTATGCACCTTCACATAATCGGTCATGATGAGCCGATGGAAAGCCTGACAGGCTGAGTCTGACATTGCAACAGGACGTCACATCGGGTGCTTCGATTTTGACAATCGTACAGGGTGGCCCGTCGAGCGTTACGAGTGTGATACTGGTACAGGGCGGTACATCGGTCGCTACGAGTCTGACATTGTTATAAGCACATTTGATGCTATTGCTGGTGATGTAGCTGATATTACTATAAGGGTAGTACAGCAGATGTTACAAGTCCGATATTGCTACATGGAGCTGTACATCAGACACTACTAATCAGATATTGCTATGGAGCCCACATCGAGCGCTATCAGCCTGCCAAAGAGCGTACCACAGCTTTTGCGGCCCCAAGTGCCTGAGCCGTCTGGAGAAGGGCTGAGGTTACACACAGCTTGGGGAAAACCGAAAGGTGAATATGCTGCGAAAGCCATTGGTTACAAAACGAGCAGGGCAGTTCAAAATGGCCGCGGCAGAGAGTGCAAGTTCAAAAATAGCTTAGACCAAACTGTGTTTCTTCCACAAAGATGTCGCATGGTTCTTTAGAGAAGAGTAGCAAACAGATACTTTGCACCAACTTAACCATCGATAAGTAAAACCAAGGCCGTGTAATACAAGTAAAAACAACCGAGCCTGCAGTAGTAACACAAATCGAACTTCATTCGGCGTAGTTGAACAGAGTGGACCACAAGCAGGTATAACGCATGAATTTCATTTGCTCTGCTTGCACGTGGCATGCAAAAGCCACACGTCCTCATGGCTTTACATATTCCAGTGCAGTCGAGGGCAGCTGGAGGCCACCCGTGAGTCAGCTGCTGCCCGACTCTCGTCGCCACCGTCGCAGCTTCTGTATACACGGGTTGAGGGCCATGAAGGCTCTAGACCGTGTCTGATCCTACGGTAAACACTGCGAGCCGCCCTTGGCACGAGCGTCGCGTCGCGTCCGGCTCCAGTTGTGCCGCGTCCTCGGACCGTGCTGCACCATGCTGCTGCCGCTGCTGGTGACGCTGCTTCTCGGCCAGGCCTGGGCTGACCCGTCGCCCGCCCCGGCCACGGACAACACCTCGTTGGACCAGGTGATCGCAGAGCTGGCCATGTTCTACGAGTCCACCGTGAGAGCGGCCACGGCCGCGGCCCACCAGAGCTCGACCCAAGACATGAACCACATCAAGCAGACCCTGGTGGCCCTCGTCTCCCGGCTGGACTCCCTGCAAGAGGTCCAGAGCTCGGTCTCCTCAAGGCTGGACTCGGTACAAGAGGTCCAGAACTCGGTCTCCTCAAGGCTAGACTCCCTGCAGAAGGCCCAGAGCTCTGTTTCCTCAAGATTGGACTCCCTGCAAGAGGCCCAGAGCTCGGTCTCCTCAAAGCTGGACTCGGTGCAGGAGACCCAGAGCTCGGTCTCCTCAAGGCTGGACTCGGTGCAAGAGACCCAGAGCTCGGTCTCCTCAAGACTGGACTCGGTACAAGAGGTCCAGAGCTCGGTTTCCTCAAGGCTGGACTCGGTACAAGAGGTCCAGAGCTCGGTCTCCTCAAGGCTGGACTCGGTACAAGAGGTCCAGAGCTCGGTTTCCTCAAGGCTGGACTCGGTACAAGAGGTCCAGAGTTCAGTCTCCTCAAGGCTTGACTCGGTACAAGAGGTCCAGAGCTCGGTCTCCTCAAGGCTGGACTCCCTGCAGGAGGCCCAGAGCTCGGTCTCCTCAAGGCTGGACTCGGTGCAAGAGACCCAGAGTTCTGTGTCATCTCGACTTGGAGCTGTTCAGGTGTCACAAAATTCCGTCTTCACCCGGCTCGACGCCGTGCAGGGGTCTGTCTCAGCGGTATCCTGCAGGCCGGAGGCATTCTTGGACAGTCTGATGAACGTCCAAACCGCTGTCAACCGTCTGCCATGTGAGAGACGTCGAGCAACGGTTTGTATGCCTAATCGGCCAGGGAAATTTCAATGACTGGCTCTAATGAATATCGGTATGTGATTTAAGTTTAATTTTAACTAAAACATGCATAACAATGATCAATTCTGTGTGAGATTTTCTGAGACTATATTTTCTTCCTTTTGTCTAGAGGAAAGTTTACTAGCAGCTTCCGTTCGTTTCGTTTGTGGGGTCACACGGCCAGATCAAAACCCGTGTCAGGTCTTAATTTCTGGCGTTTAGTGTTGGAATGCCTAAGCCATGCTTTTGTCATTTTGCATTTGAACACACACACACACACGCACACACGCACGCACGCACGCACGCACGCACGCACGCACGCACGCACGCACACACACGCGCGCACGCACACACACACACACACACTCATATATATATATATATATATATATATATATATATATATATATATATATATATATGTGTGTGTGTGTGTGTGTGTGTGTGGGTGTGTGGGTGTGTGCATATGCGTATGTATATATAATATATGTACGTATATCATAATATGTACATGTACATAGATGGATAGATAGATCACGTTCTAAAAGGCTCTTTATTAGATCATATTCCAGCTACTACTTTGGCTAACTTATTGTTGAAGGATTTACAATGCTGCGTCTAATGGTTAATGTTCGAGCATATCATTACATTTTTGTGTGGTTTTGTAACGACCAAACCAACCAGTCGCAGTCGTTTTTGCTTTTGTTCTGTGTGGACAACGCCACACACCTCAGGCCAGCACGACCGAAAAGAGACCAAAAGCCCAAACTATTTCGATGAAATAGAAGTGACCTATCTGCTGCCACTTCAGGACTGCTTGCTGTTGGCAGGGAGGGTGCTGGGTGACGCGTGCGAGATCAACAGGGACTGCTTCAGGGCAGTACTCGGCTCAGAGTGTGGCGGCGATGGCGTCTGCACGTGCGCTGACGGCCTTAGGCAGATATCCAGCAGCGAGTGCCGAGCCCGTCTGCTGTCGGAGCCGTGCACGACAACCAGCGAGTGCCTGGTAAGCGGGGGCCGTGTGTGATGCCGGTCGTGGTGACGTAAACTGACCACTCCCACCGACCCGTTTTGACAGCGTATTTCTTACATGATGCGTAGAAACAATCGCCATCATTTCACTATACAGTAAAGGTGTTCCGCTGACGTGAAAACTCGGGCTGTTTGGCAGTTGACAAGCTGACAGCTGACAGCAACTGACCTTGAGATGACCTGAGCTAGCAATCTGTGAACTGAAGGTCTTTATAGTCGGCAGCAAGCAGCGTCCGTAGTGGTTGAAATCCTTCCCAAAGTTGACCTGTTAAACACGCATGCGTTGTCACGCTGCCATCCTTGGAGCGGTGGGCGACGCCCTAAACACATGACATGTCTGCATTTCGCACTCCTATACTGGTTGGGTATTTTGCATCACTGAGTGTTCCTAGCATGCGTTTCCCTCGAAATTTAACAGTGCATCCATTACAGGCTTTCCATTACAGACTGTTTTAGCTTCGAATACGTACAATAAAGAGCCATGACAGAATGTCAATGCATGGAGACATACACATATCATGCCTTATAGCACAGGTAGCATAAATAATGTTAGGTGAATGCTAAAGCATAATCAGTAAAGTAAGTATAAACGATGCTCTACGTAATGATGGGGCCATGCAGTACTGTCAATAATGGAAAACCAAACCATAATGTGAATAATGAAACGCTGACATATTCGCCATGTTGCAAAAATACTTCATTCTGCCTTAATCACTGCAGATAATAGGATATCATCATGTCGGACTTGTGCATTCCCACACGTTCGAGGAACTTTAGGTTATGTCCGGGTTGTTCTGGTCGTCTTTTCGTAAATTGTTTAATGCTGTATCTGTTGGTTACGTTCGTATCTATGTGGATATGTCGGTCCTGCAAGTGATTTTGTGTGCGACCTAAACGCGACGGCAAATAGAGCGCATGAAGCTGAGAGGACGCAGACCACTCAGTCGGCCTCCCTGATGTCCGCAAGTTAAGCTAATCAGCCCCAGCACTTGCCACGTCCTGCCAGTTCGTTGGAAGTATGGAGTGCCACTCTCTCATCCTACCGCTGAGTGTGCTTGTTTACCGTTGCAGAATGTGACGGCACATTCGCAGTGTACGAACGGCGCATGCGCCTGTGAGTCAGGATACTGGAACCGAAATAACGACGAATGCCGCCCAGGTTAGAGCCGAACGACCAACGGCGCCGCGGACACCAGTGTGGGACGCGCCGCGCGTGCTGGGCGTCTTGCGCACCTCCAGAAAACAGTTATTTTAAGCACGGCGTCAGAGGTCTTCCTAACCTAGGAACTAATGGACGGTTGGTCAGATCAGCTTGAAAGCATGAGCACAGTTCGCACCACTGGACTGAGATCACACTGAAGAATAATAATGAGGGCTTGGGATGCAGCACACCAAGGACTGAGACATTGGTTCCAATCCTGCGAATTGAGTAAATCCCCACATTTTCACAAAGCTTCCGAGATGCGTACGCGTGAAATGTCGTTATTAACCCACGACATTGAGAGGCGTGGTACTGATCCATATATCTTTACAGGTCTAAGCGCCGGCCAGGTATGCAGTTTCGATCAGGACTGCTCTACACTTCTCTCCAACTTTACGTGCAACATGGGCATATGCTCGGAACGCGTGTGTCCTGGCGTCGTGCGTGAAGGCTGTAAGTGGAAAACTATATGCGTAACGTTACGCCATGATGTACATAACCAATGGTAAAATTTATATTTGCAAGAGAAAAGCAACAGCTTTTCTCGCTCTTAAGGTAAAGATATAAACGATGCGAGTGAACTGCGCGGGATGACTTCAAGTTTTTGTCCTGCGTCCGGCCGGGGGTCTGACGCAAACGCGCCCGGCTGGGGGAGTTGACTCCCCTGGGATCTCCAACTTCCAGGCGACGTACGAGAAAGACAAATGTACCGTCGTAAAGGTGTCGTCAAATCATGAAGAATGCATACAAAATATTTAACCTTAAGTCAAATGTGAGGTTACCAGAGGCCAAGCAGGGTAAAGCACGGTCGTTCTGATAGTTGCAGTTCAAATACATGTTAGCACGCCAAGGCGGATATTGATGGTATAAGTAAGCATTAAAGGGAATGTTTTACAGCTGAAGGCATTAAAGCAAGCATCAGACATGATGAAATAAGCTCACTTATAACTTCTGGTATCCTTTAAGTGGAAAATAAAGTTCAAGAAAACTCAATTTCTCTGCTTATTAAATATGCTCCTCAATGCATCATTGTTTGATTACGCCACCATGCCCTGCACAACATTGGTTGAGCGCCAGCTGACGGCCGTTGTATCTGGAAATCGCGTCAGATGTTAACGACTCGACCACTATGTTTGTCTTGGCCTTGATCGGCGCATGGCTTATGAAATAGCAGAATCTAAATGACGTTATTATGACCTGACGTTTGCCAAGGTAACTTTGAAATACTGTCCCCGAAATATTATTCCATTTTCGCGGGTTTGTAGCTCAGAAACTAGAGGGGATTAGGTCTCAAGAAGGATACGGCTGTGAACTGCACCAAATGGGCCTCAAGTTGGCTATTCCAGCTCAAAACCCCCAAAAATGAGGAACACACCCGTTAAAGGAACTGTTCCACATTTGAAGGTCATGAAGCAAGCTTCACATGTGATGAAATAAGCTTACTTGTAACTATTGGCATATTTTAATGCGGAAAAGGCTGGTCAAGACAACACAGATCTCCGGTTGGTAAATATGCTTCATCAATGCGTCATTGTTTGATTACATTATCGTGCCTTGCACAACTCTGATTGAGAGCCAATTGACGATCACTATAAGTGGGAATCGTGCACACCAACGCCAGATGTAAACGACTCGATTATTATATTTGTATCGGCCTTGATTGCCGCATAGTTAATGAAATGGTAGGGTTTGAATGACGTCATTGTGGCATCATGGATTCCTTGGTGACCTGGAAATAGCCCCCTCCCCCCTGCCCCCAAATAGTCTGCACATCTTTTCGGGCGTGAAGTTCAGAATTGGAATGGCTTAGATCTTCAGAATCGCTGGGCTGTGAACTGCACCGAATGACCACCAAAATGGCTATTTCGATTCAAAACCACATAAAAATGCGGAACACTATCTTTAAGATTGTGGGGAGTCCATTCCAACCATTTTTGTTCACTCACAAGGGTCAGGAAAGGTCAGGTCACCGTTCAAGATTGGCCAGCCAGTAGCATATCTATTTCTGTGATCAGAAACAGTGTGATGTACATTTACAGGCGCTAAAGATCGCATGGCTTTTGTATGCAGTATACATAGCACCTTCGACGTTTAGCAACATAATTGCAACAAACTGAGAACAGGCACGTTGGTACATGAAATTATGCATCATCAGCTTCAAAAATACGATATGGGGGTGGTGATTCAAGTCGTACTCGTTCAAGCCTCTTTAGCACCGATGATAGAGGTTACTGACTTTGGATGACCTCATATGACTTTGTATGCCCTCATGTGACCGACCTATTCCTCATTTTGCTTTATAATAACATCACATGTTTCCGGCGGACTACTGGAATGAATTCTACGCTCAAAATTGCTTAAAGAAGCTGACGATTTTTAACTCGCCATGTTTCGCAGAAGGAACCAATAGAGGTAGGTCCTGACTTTGACCAAGGTCATGTGCTTGGCCCAAGTTAACGTGCGCCTGAGGACTCTCCGGTGGCCGAGCGTCAAGCCGAACGCACCTACGACGGAAAGTCGGCGAGACGCTGCCTGCAAAACTTCCTCTGTGTGTGTGTGTGTGTGTGTGTGTGTGTGTGTGTGTGTGCGTGCGTGCGTGCGTGCGTGCGTGCGTGCGTGCGTGCGTGCGTGCGTGCGTGCGTGCGTGCGTGCGTGCGTGCGTGCGTGCGTGTGTGTGTGTGTGTGTGTGTGTGTGTGTGCGTGCGTGCGTGCGTGCGTGCGTGCGTGCGTGCGTGCGTGCGTGCGTGTGTGTGTGTGTGTGTGTGTGTGTGTGTGTGTGTGTGTGTGTGTGTGTGTGTGTGTGTGTGTGTGTGTGTGTGTGTGTGTGTGTGTGTGTGTGTGTGTGTGTGTGTGTGTGTGTGTGTGTGTGTGTGTGTGTGAAATGGACTTATCCATGTGAACTTAACGTCATCGTTTGGACCCAACAGCCAGTGAGCGATCTCCCTGACTTTCTTCCTTTGTGGCCACGTATTTCACTTCTGCAGCAGGTGATCTAAAAAAGTCCATCAGCCGGAGCAATTATCCGGATTTTCAATAGTATGCTCACCGATTACACGTCTGCCGCGCTGCATTCGATGACTGCTACGACTAGCAGCCGATGCGTTCAAAACGGATTCCGCGTTTCCGCCATTCTATGAAAGCACGTGGGCTATGGGGTCTTGAGCTTTCAGCATTCTCGCCGCAAGCTTCACGTCAGAGCATTTCGTACAAGGCAGTCTGCGAGTGGGCGCTGTTCCACATATATTTTTTAATCGCTTACAAGCTTTCACTCGCTCCTGAAAAGCCTAAAAAAAACACTGACACCAATGATCGGCACGTTATGGCAGATTTATGTCTCTGAGTGTGTGCCTGTCCTTGTAAAAGCAGAACAGTCAGCTACACGTGACGTATATGATGAGAACCTGAAAATCCCTACGCAATGAGGGCTTTCATTAGTGAATATAAGAAAGAGAAGGCCATTGAACGGCGCCGTGCTTGCTCCCATCCAAAAGTGGAAATTCATGACACGTCATTACTGATGACCTTTCAGACGAGTACCGGCTGGCTGGAGGTGATTCCTGTAAGCAAGGTCGGGTTGAACTCAGGCCTGTCGGTGGTACCTGGGGCTATGTCTGTGACGACGACTGGCGGAATGTGGATGCCTCAGTTCTTTGCCGAACATTAGGATTTAGGTGCGTATTTTGGAGCGTTTTGTTGTCTAAGCTGCCGGCACGTTATAGACCTTTGTCTTGCAGAACTTTACGCTGCATGTAATGTCCATCGCTATTAAGCGTCGAAAACTTCGCTTCGATCACATCGGGGAGCAACGATGCCGCTGTCATTATTTCCATGCATTTGTTGTTACCAAGTTTTGAGAAGCATTGTGACGGGGGCAAACGCCTGTTTCCATGTAGTTTCGATAAACTTAAGATCCTCGCGGTAGGTTTTCTATCATTTTCAACATTGTGTTGAACAGGTTGTAAATCACCCATATCTATTGACTGATCTGAGTTAGAAACAATGCATTAACTATTCACGTCTTCAGATGTTCCATATACTCCACCTCTAAAATACATAACTCTGGCAATGTGTTTCCTCATCGCGAGGGCTTCTGGAATAAAAGATCACCAATGTGTTTTTTTCAGCGCTGGGAGAGCACAGTGCTGCTCCGCATACGGCGCTGGAGGACGCGAAAACTTCTACATGGATGACGTCAGCTGCCGTGGCTCCGAAAGCCATTTGAAGAGTTGCGGACACAACACCCAGGATAACTGCAGCCGAGGGGAGGTGGCGGCGGTGACCTGCGTCGATTGACAGCGCGATGGCCGAGCCTGAGGATAGAGGCTAAGGGCCATCATTACCGGCCTGGCGTGCGCCGGAATCAACAAGAAATATGTCTGATACTCATCTGACCAAGGCTGCTGCATCTGACAGCGAGCCCGGTGTCAGTCTGTAATTTGAAAGAGCGGTCAGGAGTGGGAGGAGTGGTCATCTATAATTTGAAAGAGTGGTCAGGAGTGGGAGGAGTGGTCATCTATAATTTGAAAGAGTGGTCAGGAGTGGGAGGAGTGGTCATCTATAATTTGAAAGAGCGGTCAGGAGTGGGGGGAGTGGTCATCTATAATTTGAAAGAGTGGTCAGGAGTGGGAGGAGTGGTCATCTATAATTTGAAAGAGCGGTAATGATCGGTAGTCATTCAGAATATTTGACCTGAGCCTGGCCGGGGTTCTGAGATAACCTCGCCAGGCGGGGGAACTTGATTTCCCCCTGGGATCTCCACCTTCCGAGCACTGTAAGAGAAAGGCAAAGATATCGTTGTGAAGGTTTCGTCAAGTCAGGAAGAATACACACCGCACTTGCTGCCCAGTTTTGTCCGTTTGAAAACTATCACCAGCCGGACAGTGGAGGTGAGACTCCGTGTTTGAGGGCGAACAAACCTGTACGGGAGACACCCGGTCATGGTGCCTAACCGGACCTACTATAATAATAGGTCCTACTATACTAGTAGATCCGGACCTAACCGGACCTACTGTTCGGCCGATAAGCCGGTCACCCGCTTCACCCCAGCCATATGGCTCACACGTTAGTGTTGATGTCGGGTGTACCAGAGTCACAACGTGCCGAGCCGTGCGCGTAGCATCATCTGGCTCGTATGCTGGCCTGTGGTCTTCTCGGTATAGAGTCGCTCTTGTGGGGAGGTGTAATGGCGGTAGCGTGCGCCGCACGCCATCCACCAGCGGCAGCCAGCGCAACGCACGTCCACCACCACCAGAACTCCCACCCCCCCCCCCCCCCCCCTCTCACGCACACTCCTATACTTCATAAGGGCATCAAAAATGTACAAATTTGAAACGCCAGCGGTGATCTCAGATGTGTTCAGAAGGAGCATGGAAGCGCAACTCATTGGCAGCAGTGAATGTCGCCCCAAAATATGGTGTTGTTATTGGGACTTTACGGTGCGCCCAGCTGCTGGGGCTTTACGGCGTCGCCTGCCTCTCACCCTGGCAGGAACGGCGGGCACCGCGGGCAATCGAACTCCGTGTCTCTGATTTCCCCGACGCGCAGTAGCTAACATAGACGCGCAACCACTGCACTACTGGCACCACTCGCCCTTAAATACAGGATGGGTCCGATGGTAAGTAAAAGCCCTTTTCCAGACATCCAAACGAACTTGAAACCTTCACAAGCAATCCAGATCAAGCGGCTAGTGGAGTTCAGGTGCCAGCAATGATCTATCCTCATCAGAGCTGGCAGCGTCAGCTGATGTGGAACACACGCTGGCACATCAACTCCCGCACGTGTGAACAGAGCGAGTTTACGCATGCTCACAACTGAAATGAATGAAATTAAACGACGGAATCCTGGTCTGAGACTAGGAACTGCGTTCAGAACCGCAGCTAAAAACTGAAACTCGTCAGCTCAGCGTGACTCGTCGGCCAAGTGATGTCGGACTTAGAGCGCTGACTGAAATACTAGACCAGCGTATCAGAAGGATGATGGCGGATAGAAGATCAGGTGAGTGTCTCAAGTTGTCAAATTTATGTCACCATAAAAGCTAGAACAAAAATTAATCTCAGCGTGCATTCAAACGCTGTGGTAGCGCATGACAATGCAGTTGTCGCGCCTGCGCGATTGGTATGCATGTAATCAGCTCCGAAGTTAAGAATTTGTTTGTAATGCACTTGTCCATGTTTTTCACTTAACTAACTTATATATATATATATATATATATATACAACTTATAAACACTTGTCCATGACAAGTGTTTATAATGCACTTGTCCATGTTCATGCGTAATCATTGCCGGGCTGGTCCGTCGCCAAGTTCGTGTCGATCGTCCCTGTCACTGTGCTACGCTGCTGGGTGAGATACGTCCCTGCACCGGCTCACCTGGCCAGGTATATCCCTGTTCTGTTCCGGCCCACCTGCCTGGACATGTCCCTGTACCGACTCACCTGGTGAAGTACGTCCCTGTGCCGTCTCACCTGGGAAGATGCGTTCCTGTCCCAGTTCACGTGATGAGACTCCCTATCGCCTCTGATGTGGTGAGGCTCGCCTCTGTCCCTGTTCACCTGGCGAAGTACGTCCCTGTCCTTGTCTCGGCCGCTTAGGCAAGGAATAGCTCTGTACCGATCCACCTGGTGAGGTATGCCCCTGTTCCCAATCACCTGGTAAGGCATGTCCCTGTCCTGATCTCCTGATAAGCGTAGGACTGCGTGCGGCGTCGCTCCTTTCGTTAGTCCCAGATCGGAGCCAGACGTGGGTGGCGCCCCGAGTTTGGGGCTGTCCTGAGTTTGAGATGTACTGAGTTTGAGAAGCCCTGATCTTGAGGCGCCCTTAGTTTGAGGCGCAGTGAGTTTGAGATGCCCTGAGTTCACCATGCTGTCACGGCGGGATGGCCCGCGGTTTGTTTGGCGAGTGCCGCGGGCGACCGGCAGCTTATCTTGCGGGCACCCAGGGACAATCTGCGGTTTGCTCGTCAGGCACAGTAGGGTGATCTGTAATAACATCGGCGAATGACCTGAGCTCTAGCAAGAACACTTTCATTTGTTATTCTCCACTTTTTCTTTCAAAGGGGAGCAATGCGAAAACACTGTGTTTTGGGGAAGGTTGCTGGCTGCATAGATAAAAATATGGTTTGGTCCGGATGAAGTGCCCTGGCTGCATGGATAAAAATATGGTTTGGTCCAGATGAGGTGCCAGGCTCCATTGATGCCTCGTTAATCCTGGTAGATTTCCTGAACCACTTGTAGACGGTGGTTTTACTATCATTTCACACTAGGCGTGTGGGTGTGGGTGGGGGGCGGGGACTGCAGGGCTGTCTGTTGGGGGTGCTTTGGCCGTTATGTATTGTTATGATAGCGATCGGTTGGGGTTTTCTCCGCTCGCCTAACTTTTCAACAATACATCAGAGAAGCACCTGAGCGATGCCAGCGTGCAGTCCGGTTTATTGTGGTCACAATGACACTGGTTGATCGCTACAGATCAGCTGGTGGCTCAAGTGGCAGTAAAGAGGGGAGCAGCTTCCCTCGGTTTCTATGGCGCATGAGGTACATAGGTGGCTTTCATCGTGAACTCCTATTGGAGTGTGCTGCACAAGATTTCCCGATGTCGGCCTGTCGAAGTGGTTGTCCCCTTGTGAACTGGTGCCCAAGTCACCGAATGACCAACGTTCTACAATCGCCAAAAATATGATCTGAAATCGATGACGTCACGTGACCATCAGAAGACGAGCTAATTGTTCAACTGTGACATTACTGCTGAGGTCATCACTGAAAACTCTACATCACACTTGAACAAAAATGGACCTGAGGGGATAATTTTCGGGGCTATTAGTGCCCTAGGTTGCAGCTATCTGGAAGCCTAGCTATTTTCCGACTACATAAATCGGTCACTTTGGCGACCTCGGCCTGTTCAATGAAATGCTCCTGCTGCTTAGGTATGCATATGCAACGTTGGATACCGATTAGGTCTACCGTTTTGACAATGTTTAGAAAGTACGTCGAATCGCAAGGGGATGGTGGCAACAACGGCCCATAACAACTCGTCTTGACAGGAATGGGCGATCGATGCGACGGCCCCAAAGGTTTTCTGACGATACCTCCCTGACATGTCGTGCAATTGCGCCCAAATTTTTAGCGGCCCCTGGGGCACTCATTGCACGTGTTACGACATAAAAACGTGCTCTTAGTACCTTTGCTTTCGGAGTAGCAGCCGTTTTGAGGGACACTGCACGGTGATCTACAGCCGGCGCGGGCAGCGGACAACCAACGATTCTACTGAACCCCGCGACGGGCCGACATTGTTCCATTAACGAAGCCATGCCAAATACATATATTCTCAAAGCACATAAAAGTACGTACCATTGTACTCAGAACTGAATGTGTAATACGTCAATTTAGGTTCTGTGTTGTTACGAGGCATGGTTTTGAATGTGTGAGCATGCAAATCTAGACAAGATCTATTTTTGGGAAAATTTGACCTTTTACATAGTATAATGCGGCCAATTATTGTCCCAACAATATACAGCGTATTATAAATCACAAGCCAAATCTTGTCGAGACTAATCCACATGGTCTTTTCTGAGCTTTAATTTCTAAGTTTGGAAACGGTATGGAAGGGGGTCGCAGCCTCCCTCCCCCTCCTCAGCACCTTTAAGGCCGTGTCTTGAAAAAGGCAAATCAGGGCGAGGGTTAAGGCCCTACATAACACGGAACGCATCACGTGTGGTCAGATACGAGCATTGAGGTAGGTTATCGAAGTCAAGGAGAGGTGGACTGCCGTCACGTCAAAATGCTGTTTGCTTACATCATAAATGCCCATAAGTTTCGACATTTCTAGCACGTGACGGTCATGAGACGGGACTCCAATTGTAATTATACGGTTATTCCCGCACTGTAGATTGTTTTTCCATCAGTGCACCCATGCCAGCAGTGGCCAGTGCAAAGCAGCGCCTGAAACGATGACGCGTTCCCGATGCTCAAAGCACCTCTCTGGTCAAATTGCACGCTGTCCACGGGTAAATCGGCAGCAAACGTGCGAGGCGACCACGGCTGCGGAGCCCAAACGCAGACCGGCGCCGGTTAGAACAGACAAGTCACCTCCACCTGTCGAGGCGACGCCGGTGCCGGCCGCCTTCTCCGACGAGGCTCCTCGCGCCGCAGGGTGGCGGCGGGCGGCGCCGCGCTGCCGACCTCGGACGGATCCGGCTCGGGCGGCGACTCGGTTCTGTCCAGAGGCACGTGGCGCCTGGTGGCGGCTGGAACAGGGGCGACCTCCTCAGTGGCCGCATGGGTCGCACGGCCGGCTCGCGCGCTCCTGCTGCGCGTCGACCGTACGAGAGCGATGTGTCCGCCTCGGTGCGGATGATGTCGCGGCCGGTGTTGCCTGTGGACGCAACCTGTGTGGCAGCCACCGACGTTAGCTACAACCAAAGACAAACAAGTACTGCACTTCGGCAGGTTCTAAGGTGGAAAAAGTTGCAAGCATGGTCTAACCTGTACTGACACCCGTCCGTAAAGCAACCGTCTTCACATCCGCCAAATTCAGCGAGCCGGTCGTGAACCGCCGGCACTGAGGCGTCAGTCCCGGCGTTCACTAGTTCAACAGTCATGCTTGCACGGTGTGTTTATTTGAACACTGAGAGAATTGCGGCCGAACTTCCCCAGCTCTGGCCACTGGGGCTCGAGTGCGAATATACAGAGCTGCTACGTCGTTCTAGAAGACGGCTCGGGGGTTCCCTGTCTATCGTCGGTGTGAAAACAAACGCCATAACCTAGGTAAACAAAACGTCGGGGCGCAGACCTCGCTTGGCATGTGGAACGCAGAGTTCACATCTCCTGCTGGAAAAAAAAACGCGGCATTCGCAAGGCGCTTAGTCCGGGACGAGCTGTTTGCTCTGAAGCCCTCCGGCATCGTCTGAACAGAGCAGCACAGGGATCGAGGGATATTCCGGATTGGGGGCTCGCGAAGAGAGACGTTTGTCCTTACACTCAAGCCTGAACAGCACCTTTGGAAACATGCTGAGCCTGTCTCGCTTTAGTTTGTTTTCTCGCGAGAAGTCTCCCAGAGGATTTTCCTTGGCCCCCGCAGGGGCCAAAG